GTTATAGACTTTCACAGTTTAAGTGAGAGTTGATACTCCATTATAGCTAAACCTTCAAAACATCAAAACAGCACAAATAATATAAATAACCAAGCAGTGAACCTCGAATGTTGTTTTTCGATTATTAAATTCATGCAGTGATTGCAGTCAACTCTATAAACCTTTAAAGTGATATTTGTTATATTAAAACTCCAAAATACACTTTTAAGAACTCTTTTTGAAGTTAAAACGATGATGTAAAGCCTTAAATAGTCGGTCACGTCTTCACAAAACCGAGCAAAACGACACACTGTACCAAGCTCATAAAATGTATTCGTAAAGCAAACACGAAAGAAACCTCGAAATAAACAAAATAGACTCCTACTATTTCAAGGATTATAAACCAGTTGTTCCTTTTCACCGCTAATTTTTCCAGTTCTGATAACATTTTAAACTCTTCCTAGTGTTTTATCTGTTATTTGATTTCACATTTCATATTGTGTTTTCGAAACATTTCTTTAAAAAAATAGTTTGCAAAATGACAGTTAAATTGCTGACGTTTTTCACTGAAACACGAACGTTCGTCTTAGCCAATCAGCAAGTTGCTAATTACCAGTCGTCACTCGTTCAAATTTTGCGCGTGCGCACAAGTACCATGACCATTGAACGTCCATGACATTTGGGCGACATTGGATTCCGCTATGTTCTCCCGGGTTCCGGGTGTAATTCCTAATCTCCGGGCGGAATTAGTACCCTCGAACGGTATTCCGCACCGGCTCGGGGATAAATACGAACTAAGGATTTGCGAGGAAAATATTTTATTACTCAAATTACACATGTTACAACATTGAGAATATTTCTTTCAATACCATGAGGACTGTTCATTTTAAAAGTTGATTTTTTAAATACTCTTTGTATGCTTTGTGATGACTGTTCTCGTGACTTGTAAACTGTTCTCTTGTCGTTTTAACCGTGTACTTAAGGGTAGACGGCTTGGTAAAGGAGACAATAAAACCTGACTCTAGTGGGTCATTTTGGTATGAGTTTTCTTTCCAACGAGATAGCTGGTTCGATCAAGATACTTAGAACATATCATCACCGTCGTCATCATGATCTCTGCCTTTATTTTCCTACACATATTCAATCTTGTAATCGTTTAAAAGCCTCTTAATAATAATAAGAAACTTTCTCTTATCAACGGCAGCTTCTATTGCTTCCTCTTGGTCAAAATCATCATTAAATAAACGCATCTTTTGTGTGCATTATTTTCTTATGTACCGGATCTTTCTTTATTTGTCCTATCAACAATAAAAGGCGCTCTAAATAGATATTTTCTAATTCCTTCTGGAGTCTAGGCATAGCATTGAAGTAAGCTTTCTCTTTAGCAGAGTGCTCATCGAAACCACTGTTTAAAAGGCTTTCTTTCATTTCCTCGAAAACTGTGTTACTTCCTTGTTTTGCTTCTTCTATTAACGGAATCCAGGGATCCATTTCTTCTTCACATTCTGAGTCAGTTGTCGTCGAACTTCCAGATTGCTGAGTGGAAGTGGTCGAGACCTCATCTTGGAAATCACTTTCTTGACTGATTTATTTCTTGTTCTCGTAGTGGGCAATACTCCCGTTTGTGTCTGCGCTGATTGTAACTGCGGCTGAAGTATCTTCCGCAAAATTGGCACTCATTCCCTTAGCACTAGAAGTGGGTAAATGCCTTGTTATCGAGCAGCAACGCAGTTTTATGAGCAGATGTCTGCTCATGAGCAGTTAATAATAATAATAATAATAATAATAATAATTTTAATACTTATATAGCCCTATTTACAGTGACAGATCAATAGCGCTTAACATGCACAGGTTCGTTCTATGAGCAATTTCTACAACCAGTATAAAATAGATAATTTACAAATCTAAAATAGAAATATTATATTAAAAATTGACTTCTATAAATTGACTTCTATAAATAAATTGACTAAAATTATTAAAAATTAACTTCTATATTAAAAATTGGGTAAAAAGATAAGTCTTAAGTGATTTCTTAAACACTTCACTTGCAGTTATTGTTCTAATATTAACTGGGAGACTATTCCATAACTGAGGTGCAGCCGCATGAAACGATCTGCCACCCAATGTCACAAGCATTTTCTCTTTCGGAGGTTGCAGCAGTTATGAACATGTGCTCATCTGCTCAACGGTACTTTTTCTTACTCCAGTAAATGCACACAAACTAAAATGTTAGCCATCCCTTATGTACGTTCTTCGTTTCCCCCGAGGTAGAGGTTCACCGTTTACGATTAGACTGCACACGCTTTAATTTTGCAGTGCTTAAGTAAACATTAAAGTTTCTCTCCATCTCTTCTTGGCGCTCTAATAAATTTTCCAGACACTGCTCTATATTGAATTTCTTTGGTTTTTTACTCTTCGCTCTAAAAATGTATACATTTTCCCATTCGCCATACCCCCTTTTTCCTCCCATTGTGGAGTTTTGGCCTGAATATCTCATTGAGCAGATGAGCAACTGCTCATGAGCATTTATGAGCATGTGCTCACAGGCCCGTTTGGGCCCTATATGGCCTTACATGGCACTATTAGGCCCGATGGCCCGATTGCTGACTGGGCGTCCTAACCCGCGAATATGGAAAAATATTCCATTAAACATCTACGGGAGGAAGTAAAACAGGAAATGCGCAGCCTCGTACCCAGGCGCTTTATTAGTAAAATATATAATGTTGCATTCAGTTTTAGTATAGAGGTCAGTTGAATAAAGGCGAGCGCGCGGGGGTGCTTGGGGTGGTTTGGGGGAAGGAAGCGCCTGGCAGAAAATGAATTAAACATGGCGGACGTGCTTGATGTAAATGAGGAGATACTTGAAATTTTTAAAAAATTTGAAAGACCGGTACATAATTCAATTCTTTCGGGTAAAGTTCTGTGCCCCCACGAGAACTGCACTCCGAAAAAGGAATTCTTCGAAGAAACGGGCATAGATCAGCATTATAGAGTGCGCCACAAACGCGAATATTCCCTAGCCTTAGCACATAAATTCCATTTTTGTCCTTTTAGAATCCCCCTATAACATTTGAACGTATTAAACATACGTTTTCCCTACCAATAAAACATATAATTTTATTTAAACAGAACAAAGGAAGAGTCTGTGACTCTGCGCATTTAATAACAATACACTATACATTGGCGTAAAAATATTCAAAACAAGCCGTATAATATGAAAAAAAACAAAACTGTATCATTAAATACCTTCATATGATGACTTTCGTCCTGCGTCGTCCATATTTCTTCAATATTTTAGCCAAAATAGAACAAAAAGCACTCAAAAATAATATTTTGCAGAAATCGACACAATTTTGCAGAAATCGACACGTTTTCTGCCAGGCGCTTCATTCTTCCGTCGCGTCCACCCCAAGCACCCCCGCACGCTCGCCTTTATTCAACTGACCTCTATACTATGCTGAATGCAACATTATATATTTTACTATTAAAGCGCCTGGGTACGAGGCTGGGAAATGCGGGAGAGAACAAGCCAACATGACAAAATTTCCAACGTCTTCGCAAGCTCTACCAATACTAACACGAGAGGAAATGGTCCCCTATACAAGCACATGCCAAACCTGGCAGAATTACCGCTTAGTTCTACGCACACCATTGTTGCAATCGGACAGTTGTTCCGAGCTAATTGCTTCCAAAGCCCTCGTGTTCAAACTAAATGTACTGCAATGTTTCTCCAAAAACCGAGTAAAGTGTTGCCCCAGTGTCTCTGGTGCCGAGGAATGTTCTCATGAACATAACATGCTTCTCTAATGTCTCTCCGGGGACTTTTTTATTCCCTAAACGTCCCTGTAGATTAATACTTTCATCAAGACAATATAGTTCAACAAAACTTTCAACTGTAATATGAGTTTAGAATCCGGAAGGAAGTGTTTTGTATTCATTTCAAATAACTCATTGAGCAGATAAGCATCTGCTCATGAGCATTTATGAGCATGTGCTCATAGGCCCGTTTGGGCCCTATATGGCCTTATATTGCACTATTAGACCCGATGGCCCGATTGCTGATGAAATGACAAATATTCCATTAAACATCTACGGGAGCAAGTAAAACAGGAAATGCAGGGAGAACAAGCCAACATGACAAAGTTGCCAACGTCTTCACAAGCCCTACCAATACTAACACGAGAGAAAATGGTCCCCTATACAAGCACATGCCAAACCTGGCAGAATTACCTCTTAGTTCTACGCACACCATTGTTGCAATCGGACACTTGTTCCGAGCTGGGTGCTTGCAAAGCCCTCGTGTTCAAACTAAATCTGATTCCAACAATGCTGTGCATAGAACCAAGCGGTAATTCTGCCAGGTTTCACATGTGTTTTTATAAGAAATATTTTCCTCTCGTGTTAGTATTTGTAGAGCTAGCGAAGACGTTGGCAACTTTGTCATGTTGGCTTGTTCTCTCTCCTCTTGTTCTCATGTAAATGAAGGAGAATCAAGGCTTGGAAACTTCGGTGCTTGTCAGTGCTGTATAAACGAAATAGTTTCGCTTTTGGAACACGGTAGTCACGGAAGTGCGCGCGCAATGTTATCAATTGTGATGAATATAATTGATTTTACAATTCGCAGTTGCTAAATCAATTGTGGGGTGTCCTATGATATTTTGGCGTGATCAATAGCCTTCTGCCAGGAAAAGGAGCATTCGGAATTCGGATTACGCTAGCTGTTGATCTCGTACACTTTTGATAAACACCCAAAACCTTTTTTCTTCAATTAAACAATGAAGTGGACCATGTTAATGAATTTAGCTGCACTGTATGAAACTATATCATTCGTTTCCAATGTTTCTCGCGATGAAATATTTCATATTACCTTTCGAGGGCCATTGGGAAGAATACCTTAAGGTAACAATGTGACTCCCACATGAAATAAAGTTTTAATAATAATAATAATAACTTCCGTGACTACCGTGTTCCAAAAGCGAAACTATTTCGTTTATACAGCATTGACAAGCACCGAAGTTTCCAAGCCTTGGTTCTCCGATCTTCATTTACACCAAAAAATGTTTCGCCTTTTACTAAAGATTTTCCGTGTAGGAGAACAAAAAATGGGCCTAAGGATATTTTTTGTCGCCCTCCGGATTTTCCTGGCGGGTAGATTAGTGCAGAGTAAAACTGAATACGACATTTTAGAATAAGGTGACCGCGTATGCGTTTTAATAGATAGAGTCTAGAGTTAATTATGTTGTAGATAATGTGAATTTGCCTATCCCATTTCAAATATTGATAAAATGTGACACCAAGTAGAACAGCAGAAGAAATCTCCTTAATAGTATGGTTGTTGATCTCAATAGTTATTGGATCAAGATCTGAAAATTTGGGTTGGGAGAATATTTTCATAATTTTAGTCTTTTTCGAATTGAGGGACATTTTGTTGTGAGTAGTCCAATGTGACACTGAAGTAACGTCCGACTTTATAATAGGGAGTCACTAAGTTCGCGAACATTAGTTCTGGAAGAAAAAATAGTAGAGTCATCCGCAAACAAAAAGGGCTTGGACTTGTTGATGTAGATGGGTAAATCATTAATAAAAACCAGAAAGAGAATTGGGCCTAGAATAGAGCCTTGGGGCACGCCAGATTTTATCATCGCAGGATTTGATAGGGATGATGAGATTTGTACTTGTTGATAGCGGTCATTCAGGAACGATTTGAACCATCTTAACGCCAAGGGTGTAATTCCATAATGTTCTAGTTTCTGTAATAATATGTCATGGTCGACTAAGTCGAATGCTTTCGAGAAATCAATAAGAGACATTCCATTGATCAAGCCTTGTTCAATATTATTAAGAAGGTGTTTATAAATTAAGATTAAAGTAGATTCACAAGAATGATGAGCTCGGAAACCATGCTGACAATTCGACAAAATATTGTTTTCACTAAGAAATTTCATATATGAATCAGCAACATGACGTTCCAGGAGTTTGGATAGGATGGGCAGTATAGAGATAGGTCTGTAGTTGCTTCTCTCGGTACGGATGTCAGCCTTATAGATTGGAATCAGTTTGGCTTTCTTCCACTTGTTGGGAAATATACCATATTCAATACTCAAATTACAAATGTGAAGTATAATAGATGCCAATGATTGAATTGAGGATTTAATGAAATAAGCGGGAATATCATCAAGACCGGTAGCTTTGTTCTGGTCTAATGACGCAACAAAGTTTTGTATGTCATCGATTGTCATCGATGGAATTGAGAACTTTGTATGATTTATTTGGAATTGCAGATGAGTAGAGATTGGGTTGTTTTGTGGACTTAAATCAACATTATCAGCAATGGAAGAGAAATATTCATTAAAAAGATCGGCTACTTCAGTAGGATCACTGATCTCCCTACCATTGATGTTAAGAGTTATCTGGGAAGCAGTGTCATTGGTAGGCAAGATATCTTTTAATATTTTCCATAATTGTTGTGGGTTATGTATGTGAACAGTTAGAAGGTTTTTATAGTAGTCCTCTTTTGATTTTTTAATGATATGAACGGTTCTATTTCTCCACTTTTTGTAAGCATACCAATCATTGGAATTTTTGCTTTTTAGAAATTGCTTTAAGAAATAGTCTCTTTGATGACTAGAGCTACGTATTTCACAGTTGAACCATCCTGGCAGTTTGTTTCTTCTGACCCTACGTTTAATCAAAGGTGCATGTCTATTCAAAACTTTTATAAAATGAGAATGCCAAAGGTCTAAGAGAACGTTTGGGTCACTATGATTTTCATAAACACTTGCCGGAATTACTTCCACTAAATCATTGCCAAAATTACTCGGGATAAAATCCTTCTTCTTACGATAGCTAATAATCGTATGTAGGCTTTGTTTAGTCTTAATCCGAGAGTTAATTTTTCTGGAGATAAAAATTGGCAGATGGTCGCTTAATCCAATATTCAGCACGCCTGATTGGATGACCCTATCCTTCTGAGAAGTGTAGATAAGGTCTATTACTTTTCCAGATATTGGCCTAGTAGCTATATTAATAAGTTGTTCAAGTTGGTACTGAGATGTTATTACATGAAGTGGTTGATAGGAACGTTTGTCTTGAAAGTTAGTGTTTAAGTCTCCTAAGATGATAATTTCTTGTTCATTATCGCCATACCTAAAGTGCAGTTTAAAGAATCTCTCCAATGGGTATTATTTCCCGGTTGATACATAATGGCCATTAGGAAGGGTTTGGTATTAGGGTGCTTAAATTCCAACCAAACGCACTCGAGAGAACTGTCATTATCTATCATTAAGTCCCTTCGATATTGAAAGTTAATTGAATTAGAAATATAAATTAGAATACTTCCACCGGAGGCATAAATTCGATCTTTTCTAATAAGGTTAAACTCTCCAATCTGCAGTTCTGCATCAGACCAGCTAGCATTTAAATGAGTTTCAGAGAAGCAAAATATGATATAATTGTTTTTATTACGATCCCGAATAGATTCAGAAATCATGAGTCTAACTTGGTCCAATTTATTTGTAATAGCCTGAATGTTTAAGTGGAAAAAACTTAGGCCTTTCGTAGGAATTTGAGTAAAGGGATTATCGTTTAGATTGATATTCGGCATGGGTTGGTTGGAATTCAAGCCGTTTAAAATATGTAATCTAGTATTACTAAAAGTGCCGAATAAAGGTAATTAAGTTCCTCGCCATAAGGTCACTACCAGAAGGATTAAGGTGTGAACCATATCTGTCCAGGCCTCTCTCATCAATGTCTTCGTGTTTTATTAAGTTTAGGTTTCTGGCTTCGCAGAGACCTTGAAGCAGGTTGTTCAATTGAGTAACTTTGTTGACTTTAATACCGGGGCTATCAGTCCTTCTAGTAATTATTTAGGAAAGTGAAATGTCAGCCTTAGGGCAGAATTTGTAGATTTTGTCGCAGAGCTTGGAGATGTTTTCGGTAATAGTATTTACTTCACAGGATTTTAGATCATTGGTTCCAGCATTTATAATAATATTAGCTGGCTGAAGGCGTAGACTTGGTTTTGCGTAGGCCATCATGTCAGTTACTGTCGCGCCGGGAAACGTTCGAATAGTCACATTCTTGCGAGTTGACCTTCTCATGTTCTTTGTGTTGATGCCTCTTGTCATACAGTCACCCAGGATAACTGTGAGATTCGTCCCATCGTGTTTAGGGGGCTCACGGGATTTGTAAGTATTCGTTGGGTTATGTTGATGGAATGGTTGCTGATTTTGCTGTTGCGTTTGGTTTGGTGAGGAGTGAGAAGTGTCGTTGTCTGGGCGTGATTGATGATATTGTTGTTGCTGCTGCTGCTGCTGTTGGTTTTGATGAAACTGATTCTGCTGTATGAGGTTATGCTGCTGGGGTTGTTGCTGCTGTTGCTGGGGTATATGTTGAGTTTGTTGTGGCTGAGTAATTTGCCGTTGAGGTAGATGTTGAGTTATATGTGGCTGCGAAAATTGCTGCTGGTGGTTTTGTTGAAGCTGATTCGGCTGTATGAGATTACGCTGCTGGGGAAATTGCCGTTGCTGATCCTTTAGCAGTTGATTAATTCTGCTGCGCAAGGTTACACCGCTGGGATTGTTGCTGCTGTTGCGGGGGTAGACACCGGTATTTTGGTAGCATGTGTTAGTATGTAAATGAGCTAGTTGTTGTTGCTGGAATTGTATAGTATTTTGATTTTCTACATGTAGCAGTGTTACAACTGTTAATAGGCTGTTTCGTTCGTTATTAAGTTCTTTTACCTTTGTGTCCAGATTACATATTAGGGAAGATTGTTCGTTGATTTTGCTCTTTATTGGTGAATTTTCTTCCTTGAGCGATAGGTTTTCATATAAAGAACGAGATGCTCTAATTTAAGTTGATAGTTCAGTGACCACTCTAAGTTCACGCAGTTCGCTCGTAAACATGTCAAATGATTTCTCTACTCTAGATGAAGTGCGCGCAATGGAAGTGCGCGATGGAAGTGCGCGATGGAAGTGCGCGCGCAATGTTATCAATTGTGACGACAATAATTGTTTTTAAAATTATTAGTTGCTCAATCATTTGTGGGGTGTCGTTTGATATTTTGGAGTGATCAATAGCCTTCTGCCAGGAAAAGGAGCATTTGGAATCCGGATTACGCCAGCGGTTGATCTCGTACTTTTTTGATAAACACCAGCCAGGAAAATCCGGCGAGCGACAAAAAATACCCTTAGGCCTATTGTGTTGTTCTCCTCCGAGGAAATCTTTAGTAATAGGCGAAAGATTTTTTTCGTGTAAATAAAGGAGAACCAAGGCTTGGAAACTTCGGTGCTTGTCAGTGCTGTATAAACGAAATAGTTTCACTTTTGGAAAACGGTAGTCACGGAAGTGCTTGCCAAATGTTATCAATTGTGAGGAATATAATTGTTTTTATAATTAGCAGTTGCTCAATCAATTGTGGGATGTCGTTTGATAATTTGGCGTGATCAATAGCCTTCTGCTAGGAAAAGGAGCATTGGGAATCCGGATTACGCCAGCTGTTGATCTCGTACACTTGTGATAAACACCCGCCAGGAAAATCCGGCGGGCGACAAAAAATACCCTTAGGCCCATTGTGTTGTTCTCCTCCACGGAAATCTTAAGTAAAAGGCGAAAGATTTTTTCGTGTGAATTAAGGAGAACCTAGGCTTGGAAACTTCGGTTCTTGTCAGTGCTGTATAAACGAAATAGTTTCGCTTTTGGAACACGGTAGTCACAGATGTGCCCACGCAATGTTATCAATTGTGATGAATGTAATATTTTTTATAATTAGCAGTTGCTCAATCAATTGTGGGATGTCGTTTGATATTTTGTCGTGAACAATAGCCTTTTGCTAGGAAAAGGAGCATTGAGAATCCGGATTACGCCAGCTGTTGATCTCGTACACTTTTGATAAACACCCGCCAGGAAAATCCGGCGGGCGACAAAAATTACCTCTAGGCCCATTGTGTTGTTCTCCTCCACGGAAATCTTTAGTAAAAGGCGAAAGATTTTTTCGTGTAAATGAAGGAGAACCAAGGCTTGGAAACTTCAGTGCTTGTCAGTGCTGTATAAACGAAATAGTCTCGCTTTTGGAACACGGTAGTCACGGAAGTGCGCTTGCAATGTTATCAAATGTGACGAATATAATTGTTTTTATAATTAGCAAT